AATAAAAAGTTTCTTGCTGAACTCCACTCTGCAGTTGCTTTACTCTAAAAGATACAGGAAATAATCCCAGGCAATACTCAAAAGCAATCTAAAAGTCAAATTTTTCTACACAGCCTCATCTGCCTGTTTATTTTAAATTACAACTTCATATGTTAGATTTTCTACTTTTCTCTTTCATATTTGCTTTTGAATTTATGTTTTTCCTCACCTTAATTATTTATTACTTTCCCCCTATTACATAAGAAGTATTTCTGTTTTAACTTACAGTTTCCTACCACACAGAGACTATTTCTATTTTTAATTAATATTCATTTTACACATTTATAAATATGCCTACACATTAACTTTTCCAGTTGAATTTTGCTACAGGGTGTTTTGGTTGTTAAAAATATAGGTTGTTTTTTTTCTTTTTCACATGAGGACCAAAAAAATTTAGTGACTTAGCACTAAATGTTATGTGTTTGAGTATGTGTGTGTGTGTGTGTGTGTGTGTGTGTGTGTGAGAGAGAGAGAGAGAGAGAGTGTGTGTGTGTGTGTGAGAGAGAGAGAGAGAGAGAAATTTTATTTTAAGATGAAGAAATCTTATATTTTTATCAAATTTCATTCAATGAAGTGACAATCTTTTTTATTTTTGGAAGAAAATTATATTTAATAACTGAGTTTTAATGACATGAGATTCAATGACACTGCAAATGTATTAACAGTATCTCATAAGTCTCAGGAGCAAGGAGGCACCTAGGAGATACCTGTTCACCCAGGCAGCTTGGGAAAATGGAACCATGATGTTAGTCACAGGTCTGTAGTCCATGTGCCACAGTGGCCCACTGTCACAATGTGCCCTGGTTTTGGCTTTCTTTTTGGGGGCAAAGTGATTTTTGAAGGAAGTCAGGAATTGCAACTGGTTCAAGCCATTATTCACATATATGTGGAAGGAAATGTGAGGATCATTCAAGATCATATCTCTGAGGCTGGGAATGTGGGTGTGGTGGCTCATGCCTATAATCCTGACAGTTCAGGAGGCAGAGGCAGGAGGATCACAAGTTCAAATCCAGTCTCAGTAATTTAGCAAGTCCCCAAGCAACTCATTGAGACCCTGTCTCTAAATAAAATATAAAAAAGGGCTGGGGATGTGGTTGAGTGGTTAAGGCCATTGGGTTCAATCCCACGTACCAAAAAAAAAAAAAAAAAAAAATTTCCTTCAGGCATGCTCAAAAAACTTATGACATCTGGACACTGAGGTTTCAGTAATGTCCTGAAACTTTGTAAGCAATGAGGGAATGAGAGGAAAACCAAAGAGGTTTTGATTAGCACTTCATGGTAACTTAAGGTTTATGTAGTTTTATCTAATGCTTAATTACATTATTATTTAATAGAATTAGAACTACCAAGGGAATTGAGAATAAAGGTTGAAGCTAATGCCTTTTTTATTTCTATGTATTTTATTTAACAATTCCAACTAGCTAATTCTGTTATTGCATTGTGTTTTCATGTGAGAGATTGTAACTGCTATGAGTGTCCTTTTAATCTCAAGAGTCTCTTTTTTCCTGAGCTTCATGCTGAGAATGAACCTTGTAGCTAAGCAATACACGCTACTTATATTAAAGAGTACTCAATAATTGGTGCTGTGAGTTGGACTCAATTTGAACTAAAAAGAAATAAGATATAATCCTATGGAGCCAACCATTAAGAATTAGTAACACAAATAAAGGAATATTAGCAAATTATTTATGAGATAATTCAGACAATATTTTTATAATGTTTATGTAAATGTAAGTATAGGCAATTTAGGAAATTACTCAGATCTTCTTTGTGTGAATGTTAGCTTTTTGGAAAGGCAAATAAACTACATCATGGCTTATTATGCCACAGGATATTCATTAGTCTGTGTTCATTTCAGTCAAGATAGATATAAATTGGAGAGGATTGTTGGTGTTTTCATATGGTAAATCTGTGTCTCTCCTGCTGATAAGTGATCTGACTTTCTCAAACATTCAATTCAGTATTTGCACTTCAAATCATATTACCTTAAGAGATCAATCACTGACGTCTGTTTTCTGTATGTATGAATCCAGTCAGATTGAATTTATTTTTTTTACTTTAAGAAACTCTGATGGATGAGTAATGTACTTAATCTTGGTTTTGTAAGACACTAGTTGAAGTTGTATTTCCACCACTAAGACTAAAAGTTTGGTGTTACTTTTTTTGGCTTATTTTTCGAAGAATGCACTTGAGCTAAATCCATTTCTGGAATCCAATGAAAGCTCCTCACATTGGCAGGGCCGACCAGTAATTCCTAACGACTTGTTTTTGACAGAGGTGTCTCTGAAATTCTGCAGAAATGACCATTTGGAAACTGTCATTGATTGGCAGGTCATCAAACAAAAATCATTCTCATTAATTTTGGTTTTGTTAAATTAATCTCCTCCTAATAGTTGGAATATCCAAACAGGTAATAGAACTAGCATAGAAAGATCCCTCTTTCCCTTACTTCGTATCCCTGATCAATAATTAACTCCCAGCAGTTTTCTAGTCACAGTCAGTAGCTGAGTTTTTTTTTTTTTTTTTTTAACTATAGAACATAAGTACTTTATTGCAATAGGGAAGCATTCACCTCTTCCCTCAGTTTCTGCAGAGAAGAAGAAATGATACATGTGGATGTCTTATATCATGTAAATAAGGGTATTCCTTTCCAAAGTGCACTACTTACTTTTGAAATTTTCACATTGTATTTTTTCCCACTTCTTTACTATATGCAGTGTTTCATGCAGGTATGGCCATTAGTAGTGGATCAGGTAGCTATGACCCCCTCCTGACTGGGAGGATTCTAAGTTCCTAGTATTCTTTCTATTGTTTCTTCCAGTGAAATCCCATGTTTTAAAGATTTTATATATCAAATTGCATATATTGGTTAATGACTGTTTTCTTTTATTATCAAAGTAGTTGAGGTTTTTAAAGTATGATACAAAATAAATGGAATACTGTTTTCTTAAGCATCAATTAATATCATAGACTCTGCAAGACTTTTTAGCAGGAAAACTCAAGAACACCCATCCTAGTATTTGATGGAAAAACCATATTATTTATCTACTTCTGAGAACTCAATTGCTTAGCAAAATACTTGGGAAAGAAATATATTAGGAACTCATCCTATTTAGACAAAAGCAGGAAATTAAGCAATCATTTTATTTGCCTTAAAAGTTTTTTTTTTTTTTTAAAGATACCAAGGTTCATATGCCTCAAGGAACCTTATGTAATGAAACCAGCATTTTCTCTAATTTTTGATGTAGTGTATCCTTTGAAAAATGTATATGGTACTTTAAGTTATATTAAAAAAATAGTTGGATTAGAATTTTTAACCTGTTTTCTAGTCTGATAACCTAAACATATTTTTAGTGAGTGGCTCTAGTACAAGTTCCAGCCTTGAAAAATCTATTTTCTTTACCATCCTTCTTTCTCTTCTGGAGTAGAATTTCGTGGTAAATAATGAGTAATGGGTGAAAGGATATCAGTGGAGAAAGTAGAGATATATGATAGCTATAAGTAAACGTTTGGCCTCCTTCTGCAACCTCCTGGATGTATCAGTATTTTTCTTTTTCTGGACGCATTTACTAAAAGGCAGCTCACTCTCCTATGGGCCATTCTGCTCTGTATCTTAGAGGAGATCATCATTGGGTCCTAATGACTTCAATGCAAATTTAATTTCCTCTGAGATGAGAATGGCGACAAATATCTAGAAGCTTGATTCTAGAGCCTTAGTGTGATTTTTTTGAAATATTTATTTTTTAGTAGTAGTCGAACACAATATCTTTATTTTATTTTATTTTTATGTGGTGCTGAGGATCGAACCCAGGGCCTCACACGTGCTAGGCGAGCGCTCTACCGCTGAGCCACAACCCCAGCCCCCTGAGTGTGATTTTTGTGTATTTAGATCTATAGAAAGTTAGATAATTATATGCAGTATATAACCAGCACAAATTTTGGTTGCCACATTGGAGTTAGACAAAAATTATATCTGACATTTAAGTGTTCGTTCTTATTCACTGTAAAATATGTTTGCTTATATTTATCTGATTTCTAATTATTAAGGTTATTGCCAAGATTTCCATTTGACTTCTTCCTCAGGGACTTTGATGGATTTGTTGATAAATAAACTTCATGAAATATAATTCCTTATATAAGATATATATTAATTATGTATTAATTATGTATGCTATATGTTAATATACAATAATACCAATTTTTAAAATTATTTTTCCTTTTTCCTCAAACTTTATCTAGGCATATCTGCCAAGTAAAAATTCTGTATTTTAGACATACAAAACAATGATTTTGCTATAGATACACATTATAAATTGATTATTACAATTATTCTAATCAACACATCTGTCTCCTCACATTGTCACAACTTGTATATGGTGGGTGAGGACACTTAAAATGTATATGTTATTAAATTTCACACATAATAAAGTGCTATTAACTGTAGCCAGCATGCTACATAAAATTGGTTTAAACTCTGTTTTTACTTTTTTCAAAGGATTTTATTTGAGACTGTTAAAGCAGTCACATTGGTATTCTGGTATTCACTTTAAACTGTGAAAAATTTTAACTATTACCCATCCCTAAAAAGTTCACTTCAGCTCTAGTTTGAGAGACATGGTGTCATCATCTTGCCTTCCTGTGTCAAATATTTCAACACATATAAATCTATCAAGAAGAGATCTGTAGTATCCTGAGTGATAATGAGTTGGAGGCCTGCTAGCTAAATGAGAGGTCCAAACCCTAATCAGCCTTTACAACTTCATTGATAACCATACTTCTGGGTAACTAGACACAAGGTTTTTAATATTTTTAGTTTTTTTAATAATCGATTACTTTGTAGGATGAAGCTTTATTTTGAATCTTCATCAAAAGTGTCTAATTCTATATCCAATATTAAAATGCTCCTTTTTTAAGTGGGGAAATTTTAAAGGTTGATTTTCTTTCCATTTTTATTCTTATAGATGTTCGAAGAAGAACAATTTATGAATACCACCGAGTAGAGCTACAAATGTCAAAAATCACCAATATTTCCGCTGTGGAGATGACCCCATTACCGAGTAAGTTAATGTGTGAACACAGTTAGTTGGGAAAATGATTTTGCAAGCCTGATGATCCAGTCTATTCAGTAATTATAGTTATTATATTAATTATATAATTGTCTTTGGCATGCCTGCTTATTTTGATCCTGAGTATGTATAGGGATAGATGATTATTTTTATTTGGTTCAAGCAGACTCCCCACCCCTACCCTGCTCCCGTTGCCTCCCGCAGTTAGTCCTGATGAGTCTCTTCTATTTCCTAGCATGTCTTCAGTTTAATGGCTGTGGCCCCTGTGTATCCTCTCAGATCGGCTTCAACTGCAGTTGGTGTAGTAAACTTCAAAGGTAAAAAAATAATACAATGAATCCTAAAAATTTACAGACTGTTGCCTCTTCTCTCCCATTGAATTTTAAAGGTATGTCAAGTGTGTAAATTATACATACACTAACAAGTGTATATATGTGAAAATATATATATGCCAAGACCAAAATGCTAGAAGAAGAAGAAGCGCTCAGAAGAGAGGATTTTAGAATATCCCAATGTCTGAAGCTCAAAATGACTAATAACCTTCATAGTTATAGTTATTGTAGTTGTAATATTTTTCTGGCATACATTTATAATTTTCTATAGATTTAACATACATGATGACGTAGTTGCTGAATCTATAAATGATGATTTGTATCCATATACTAAAGAAAGCATGATCTGAGATACTTTTCCCAGAGCAAAGATGAATTACTATAATCACCACTTGCAGGTGTTTAGTGAATTCCTATTCAATATCTCAAATTTTATTACTGAAGACTAGAGATGTAATTTGAGGCTGACACTATCTGACCTTTACATAAATATAACATGTGGCTTTGACCTCACATTGTGGCTGATTTTGAAACTTAAGCTGTATAACTTGCTGATTGTCAAAAAGGTTTACTGATTTTTGTGGATGGTAAAAAAGGACTGTCTGGTCCCTAGAGTTTTTCTGACATTGGATGATGTGGGAGATATATGATGTAGAAGAGCAGATTGCTGTTCCCTGGTGTGATAAATGGACCCAGTTCCACTAAACACTTGCAGACATTAATGTAAACTGAGCTGATGTAGAGGAGAAAGCAACTACCCAAATACCTGCTTAGTTTCTGAAAAGGGGATTATAACCTTGGTGGATCTGGGGAAGACTCTTAAGTAGATGTAAAGATATTTGCCTTCTGTTGGAAAGACCAGATGAAGGCTTATAAATGTATTCTGTTATTTGCTTAACCATTTTGTGCATCAATTATATCCCAGTTGCTTGGAACACAGCAGTAAATAATAGCAACATGGTTTCTGCCCCCCCATGGGGTTCCAATCTGTCTGGAATAAGTTCCCTTCTGACCTTCAGAGTCTATGAAAAATCAGCCACTTATGGTTTTAGGCAGTGGATGCTGCTGCCATAGAGCATCAGCAGTCTGTGTTTTATTATTCACTAGCTGCAACATTTGTCCCATGCTAAAGATATGATGAGAAGGGCTTCTAAAGTCATTGAAGGGTGGAAAAAAGAGTGTCAATTCTTTGATAACAAGTACTCTTTAGGAAACATTTTTAACTTGCTAACTTTGGGGCAATTGCTGCAATATTGTGACTAGAACAAAATTACTTATGATAACTTCAGTTTTGTTTTCAATTTAACATGTTGTTCTAGGATTTCCCTTGGGAAATGAATTTCAAATAATGGAAAAACAAGCAGGCAGTTAGCATTTTTCAAAACAGATTGTAACTTAGTTATATATCCAGAGTGGGAGGAACTGCTATAAAATCAAAGGTTGATGGGCATTTATATTTACATTTTGTGAAGATTTCATAAAGATTACATGCACATTAAAAGTTAATCAAAAGCTGGGTAGCTACAACTAAAGGGAATCTAAAGAGCTAGGATTTTAACATGTATACTTCAGTTATACTGAACTCTGAAATGAAAAAAAATGCCCAAAATGATTAAATGGAAGAACCTGATTGGCCTTATTATACCTATTTCAAGATCAAGTTTAGTGGTCATCATCCTGGGAAGACCTCTATCCTTAGCATTTAGCACAGGACCTGCAGATGGTTACTCATTTACCTCCTTTGCCAAGTCCAGGTCTGTTAAAGGAAAAGACCATAGAATGTGCCTGGTACTACAGAAAGATGAAGGAACAAATCATTATTAGGTTCCAAATAAATATACCATGATTAGGTTTTTCTGAGGCCAAAGGGTTTCCCAGGATGAGGGACTTCTGATGCTAAAGCCAGAAAACCCCAAGGAAAACCCACACCCATTGACCATCCTGGCCAGAAGATGATTATGCTTGACTGAAATAATGTTATAATAAATGTAGGATTTGGAGACTTATCTAGAAACATACATACCACTAACATTTAAAAAAAAAAACTCTGTATTGTTCAATGGAAATACACGTGTAATTTTTCAAACAAGCAACTTTGGCAATCAAAATATATCCACAGATTGGAATCTGCTTCCACTATTAACATTTTCATTTTATTAAGATATTTCTCAACCAGATATTATGCCAAGGAATTTTCAAATATTACCCTTAAAGCCTTTTTGTAGCAGAGGAAACTGGGGTTGATTGGTGATGTTGTCTGTGCAAGGTATCAGACCTCTTCAGTGAAACTTTGGAATTTAACTTTGATCTGTGTGACTCTCAACTTTTGATCTCCTGAGCTCACCTGATTTGCCTCACACCTGCCAGGCCGATGATGGTGCATTAGGCAAGCTAATCTTCACTGCTTTCTGGAACATGGTAGACATGCTACTGGAAAAACAAATCTTTTTGTAGTTGACACTGAAAGAAAGTTACATGGTTTTGAAACTGGCATTAGAAGAATGTAGAAGAGAATCCCAGTATGCCTAAGATGCCTGTGTAATATTGAAAGCATAATTCTAATTCCTTTACAATTAATGGAGGAAAGAAAGGTAGCAAGTCATAGAAATACAGGAGGAATTCATCACAAAAGATTACTTTAAAAAGTACAAATTTTCTGTATGTTACTGTTTGGTATTTTGTTGAATACCAAATACCAATGATTTCTTGGGTTTATTTTTAATTCTTCAACAACCCAGTTATACACATAACAAAATCTGTTTAATTAATTGGCTTAACTATGGCTCATTGCACTTTTGTTCAACTTAATTTCCCCACTGCATTTTATTAATTTCTTCTTAGACCTGTGAGCTTTAAAACTTTGCTTTGCAGCCCAGCATTATTTCCCTAGACCTTTTAGAGCTTTTATAGAAAAAAAATTGAAACAAGAGAAGTCTTATTCTGAGCAGCACAAAAATTGCCCCTTTGTTGTTTTTTTTTAATTTTTTTATTTTTCTCCCACCGTTCTTATTTTCTTCTGTGCTCATTTGTCCCTGAATGATAATTCAGTTGCTGGTAATTACTGAACTCTCAAGTTGGGCTTCCTCTAAAAAGATAAGATGATTTTAATTGGTTGGTTTGTTTCCTTTAATTCCCATTTTTTTAAGGGAGCAAAAATTAAAGCAAAATGTTTGTAATGGCTTTTCTAAGGTCCAAGAGGGTTGGAGTTATAGGAACATATAAGGGGAACCATGCCTGAAAAGTACTTATTTTAAAAACTTGGGAAGGGTTTGCTTATTTCCACACAATAAATTGAGAGGACTTGAATCAATCACTTTCAATTCTTCCTTATATATTCACTTAATCAACAACAAATTTTAAATGTCTCTGTTCAAGTTACTATTTAAGATTGTGCATTCAGTGGTGAAGAGAGACCAAAATCACTACCTGATAAAACTTATATTTTTAGTGAGAGAGGATAGATTTTAAGCAAACAGATATGTAACTAGTAGAAGTAGTAGCAATGAGAGCAGGGATAAAGGAAATAAATAGGACAATGTTGTCAGCAATATAGCAAAGTTGATAAGAACAACAAGAGTTTTACTTGTTGGTGTCATTTTTAATTGACCTTGCCCTGTTAGAGTTATTGATCGGATCAACCATCATTATCTGAATTTTTCAATTGAAAATACATATGACTCTTAAAATACTCATATATCAAATACTTTCCACATACTGGGCACAGATCAAAACACTGAGGTAGTTAGAATAATAACAAAGTAATAGTCAAAGCCAGGGTTCTCATGGAGCTTGGAGTTTAGCTTAGTAAGCAGAAAATAAATGAATTGATAATTAAGCTCGAATTCCAGATGGTAGTCAGTAATGTGCTGAAGTTGAGGGAGCTGGTATTTGCTGTGGAGCCGTTGGCCCGAAAGACTTCTGGGAAGAGGTAATGATGAAACTGAGATTTGAAAGGTAGGAAGACAGCCTCTTGCATTTCAAATGGAAAAGCAAGTACAGCTGCCCTTGGGTGGGCACAAGCTTGATCTGAGGAGGGAGAAGCCCCATGAGTTGAGAGTAATGTGAGCTGGCATGAGGACAGGGTGGTATCGCATGAAGTCAGAAAGATGGACAAGCTCCCAGGACATGCATGGCTTTCTAAGCCAGGAGTAGTTTCATTCCCAGGTTAATGGGAAGCCTTTAGATTTCAGATCTTAAGCAGGAGAAGTGATGAGACTTTTTTACATTTTAAAACTATAACTCTGGCTGCTCCAAGGAGAGTAGATTTGTTTGTTTGCAGGAGGCAGGTCAGAATGAAAAGGAAGAACATGTGTAATAGTCTACAGGAGGGATGTGTTTGAACATAGATGATAATTATGGGACTCATGAGAAAAGGATGAATGCATGTTGTATTTTGGGAGGAAACAAGTTGCTTGCTAATGGGTTAGAAGCAAAGGAAGAGGGAAATGTAAGAATCAAGAATACTTCTTAGATTTATTTCAGCAACATGATAGGTAATGGTACTTTTTTTTTGAGATAAATAAGATGGCATAGGAAACGAAGACTAGAGGGTGGAGAAATAAATAGTTTGTTTGGGGACAAGTTAAGTCTGAGATGCCCATCAGACCTCAAGTGGAAATGTTGAATAGGTAGGGATACATAAACCAAAAATTCCAGGAAGGAGTTATGGGCAAAGCTTCAGATTGGAGAGTCATTATCATATAGATAGAGTTTAATTCATGGAACTGAATGAGATCAGGTATGGAGAGAGTGTAAATTCAAAATAGCCTAAGAAGTTCCAGGCAGTAGCTGTGTGGCATAGCATAATGAGGTGGGATGCTCATTTTTCCTTACATAAAATTATCTTAAAAGTATATTCACATGCATGCATGTTTTTGGAGACAAAAAATACCTATAAGAAGATATACAAGAGGCTAGCAACAATATTTGTCTCTGGGGAAATGGAAGTGAACAGCATCAGACATGAGAGTGTGCATAGCTTTTCG